GCTTTTTGTGTACGTTTCAATCTCCGTCTTGCATTTTATGATTCATGTCAACGAACTGTACATTTTACAACGAAGGTGTTAATGTTTTCACACGTGAGTTTAAGAACAACTACAGTCGGTTGCGACATATAAAAACCTCGCTTGTCAACTTACCACCTAAGTCGCTAAACACCTGCTCCGAAATGTTAACACACGCGACAATTGTCCACCAATGTTTACATATTAAATTGAAACGGTAAATCTATAATGAAAACCTTTTATACTACCGTGCGAGTGTGTACACAAAAGGGTTCAAATGTTTACAGTAAACCGGCACGCGCCCACTAATGGGCCAACAGATGATTGAGAGCTGTTATGATTTAAGACGACAATCGTCCACTCGCGAGTTGAGAGCTCTAAACGACAAGCATTGTCGTTGTGACATTTAATGTCGACTACACAATTGAAAAGGCCCATCGCGGCTATCGAGGCCCATTCGAAGCGGATAAAGGTCTTAACCGCGTGAGGATCGGATAAGGAAAAAAACGATCAGGTAGTTCGCCTTCTGTAGTCCATTGTGATTTAACGAGGCAATGAATACTCCGATTCATCGGCGAACAGGTGGCTATTTTACGCCTGTGTCTTGCGCTAACTTCGTTTTGCACTTTTAGGAGTTCGACGAACGCATTTCATTATTCAAATGTTATTCGAGTGGCGTGAAAGCGTCTCGATAACCTCGGCAGCGGCGAGACGTGAACGGAATGACTGATAAACGTCGGTCGGGCCTATACATAGATCTAGCAGAAACTATCAACCAATTGACATCTCTAAACCGTTGTAATAAAGATTAGAAATGAAACACGTCCATCCGAAACACGAGACCGATAGCTGAGCTCATTTTCATTATGTCAATGCGAAAGCAACACGGATCCGAAGAGTTTATTCCAAGCTAATGTTAATCAAATGACTCTATCGAATTACATCACCATGTAAGTAAACTTAACAAAGAACTAGAGGTTGCAAGAGACACCCGTCAAGTGTATTCCATTAAACCATTAATATCAGAACGAGTGCCAGTGCATCGGCTATCGTGCGAATGAGCAATTTTCCGAGGAAATGATCTCGGTCGACTTGCAGAGATAGGGTCTTTGGTGTTACCGACCGCTTACTAATAATGTTTGCCTTTGATATCGTGGTTACAGCGAGTCGACTCGTATATTGCTATCTTTCGATACGCTCTTAACGGCCATCACGATAGCACGGGAAGAAAAGCAACCTAAGAAAGCTCTATTTGGAACGCGAGATTATAGGCACGATTTGTCAAGGTATAGCAGCTTTAAGCGGCTTAAGATTTTTGATCCCGGCTCGCGATAGCTGCTGAAACGCTACTCGACCCACAGACAGACCTCTCTCGGCTAACATTCCGATGGAAATTGCAGCGACCCGACCAGATTACTGGCGCCGCATGGGATAATTACGCACCGAATAGGACAACTATTACGGAAAATAATTCAGCGAGTGCAATTAGAGGATGAGTCGTGATTCAATATCTAATGCAAACTGAGACACCAAAGTTGAATAATATAAATCAACTGTGACCACGGTTATTAGAGTTTGCCTCTAGCGTCTATTTAACATTCCAAGCCACTGATAACTATACTTAGGAAGCTAACGGCGTGGAACGATATTAATACCTGTTGAATATAAATATATGTAAGTAAAAAGTTACCAATCAGGTAGATCAAATTGACAGCTAATAAATATTTTCAAATAGCGGACGTCGGAATGCTACAACAAGGCCATAGCACAGCCTTGCTTTTTCCGCGTCATCCAATCAGCATAAAGCCTGTTATGTTAGCTTCAATCTGAATAGCAGAGAAACCGGCTGCGGCTCGCGCCACAAGCATTATTAACGCAATAAAGTACTAGATAAAACGGAGTCGGACAGCGTGTGAACGTCAGGAGAAAGCCGTTGTCGCAACATTAGTCAGTCGCTATTACCATGAGATAGCTATTCGGATGTTTTTAACAGAAATTGTATGTTTAATTACAATTCCAAAGACGATCTTGCCTATAAAAGCTTAATGCTTTACTAATGATTACAATCTAACAACGAAGAACCTATAAAACGTTGAGTAACTATAGTTCCCATACCAATAGTGTATTGTGAAAGTAATCTGTGTTTATCATTCGATTCTAGAAACACCAATAAAACTGTTTGACTGCTCAGACGGACCTACACAGATAATCTAACAGAAATAGCCGAGTATTTCTGTTGGAGAAGTTTTGCACTATCTAAGCGCTCGATCTAAATTGAATCTCCGATCTGAAATGAGCGAAAGGTACTGAAGAAATAAGCTGGAACTTGATACACCGCATAGAGGTCCATTCGGTGTATCGGTGTATCTAGCAGATTGCAGACATCAGAATTCCAATTCGTAATAAAAGTTCGGTCAAAATTCAGTTGCGATCAACTCTCGATCTCTTAACTTTCATAAAAAGTATTTTCCTAGTAAAATAGTAAAGTATACCTAAGACTAGCAGATTACCGATTCAATTTTCGGTCACAAAAGATATGATCAAATTACAGTCAACGTTGGATGTTTAATACTATACTATAACAGTTGTGAGGTCGAGAGTTGATCGGAACTGAATTTCGACCGAACTTTTATTACGAGAATTGGCCTTTTAGAACGAATTGAAAGAACGTACGTGGCAAACGATTCAGAGTGAAAAGTATTTTAGTCATCTGTACCGGTGCAGCGGAACCTCGGTAACATTTCAATCGCGATTTACCAAAACCGGCTCGGGTGCCTATCTGATCGCCTTGATGCTAAATATTTGCTCTTTTAAATTGCTTCTTTATTGTAAACTAGTGAGATTTTCGACACAAAATTGCTATCAAAGCTTGTAAGCTGAATAGGATTGAAATAAACTGTTCTAGTTTGAACTGTTTTTTTTTAAATCCAATTCACTTACTTCACACACTGTTTTGAACTATTGAGAAAATCCTTAAGCTATTAATTAGTGAGACAAGCAAAGAGGAAACTAGAAAGTTAACACCCCGTTTACCGCGGCACGTGAATGAGGGTGACAGAACGCTCTGATCTCTCTCCCTAAAAGCTCGGATGTTCAAACAAAAGCTTGCAAGCATGAAGCTTCGTTTTCGGATTTAATGTGCCATGAAGAATTGGCGGCGCCTATGCACTCACTAATAGCTACGTAGCTGGTTTAAAAATGTTGAAGAAAACCGAAACATAACCAAGATAAGAAGCACTTTCTTTTATCTTAGGATGCATCCTGCTTTTATGATCATTAGTAATTTTATCTCTTTCTGACCTCGCTTCATCCTTTTCACTCACATCTCCGGAGGGCCATTTATCAATACCAAATAACATGCCAGACCCTTTTCTCTTTTGTATATTTGTTTTTTATTTACCTTATCCTTCGGTGTTCCATTTGTGTCTTGATTTTTAACTCTAAATTGATTGTAAAGACGATCTAATAGCATCCAAAATATTTTTCAATACATTGACGATCACCAATAAGATGTGATGAGTCGTCTAATAAGCAGGATGGATAAAAGTTAATAAAGAGTATAATACTACAAGAGAAGTATAAACTGTACAATAAGACATGCAGCGTTAAATTAACGCCTGCAATAGAATTTCGATTTCATAATAAATGCACAGCGCGCTGCAATTAATGGAGGCAATTCTCCGTGCAAGAGCCATTAAAGCTTGCTATTAAAAGTTTCCAATTTCCCTTGCCTCAAAGGTTTAGTTATTAACGTCGGGCGAAACCATTTTTTCTTTTTCACTGTTGGTATTTTATTCCTTAATTGTTTTATTTACTGCGGTTTCAAGTTCGCTTGCAACTTCATCTACCGGTTTGAGCACGAAAGGAATTTAAAAATTTCTTTGTGAATTAGAAGATGAGAAACTCATTATTCTTTTCATATATTTCATAATTATTACTTTTATGTCTGATCTTAACTTGGGTAAATTGTTTAAAACATTAATTTAGATGAGAAACTTTACCGATTAAAACATAATTACCTCGATCATATCAGTTTGAAGTATTTACTTTTTATCAAAAAACTTAATCGATGTCTCGCCGCCACATACTGGAATCGGACAACTTACTAATCATTCAAATATTAGACTTAAAAAACTTCACGATGACTTGAACGAAAAAGATATCCTAAAGATGCCGGACATCAAGGGGGGTCTTCCTTAAGCTTTCCTGCACCGTTGAGAGCAAATAAAGCGGCGTCCCTCTGAAATTAATTTTGTTTTGTTTTATCGTCTGGAGCCGCAGCATTTACATTGAATGCGGTCGGAGGCTGGCCGTTTGTGATCATATTTATGTTGGGGCCCGTAGAGTATGACGTGCGCATTATTCATACATGGTACGCGCAGCGAACCAGCTGTATGTTATTTTTACCGGTTCATCGGCTTGTCGTCGATGGATTGCCATTTGATATAAAAAAATTGTTGGTTTTTCTATAGAAATAAATAGAATAGAATATATTTTTTATTTAAAATAAAATAGATGTAATCCTTTTTTTAACTGTTAAATGTAATCGTGATAGAAATGTTGCGGATATTTAGTTTAGAGAATTTATACAAGAGGGTATAGACACAGCAAACGAACGCCATCAAAGTTTATGACACCACGAGGCGCCGCACTATCGATAACTGTGATTGGATATACGGACTATAATGCATTTCCTTTTACATTTGCAATGGTCGTTTCCTGTTTCGATTTATTGGTTTACACCTAATATATATTCAATTCTATGAATAGAGTATTACTTCGTGGAGGATGTGCAAGTATTCTCGTAATCGTCAGTTTTATAGATGTTGAGGCTTGCAGATTTAGGCTTAATTTATATGCTGACATTATGACAACTGTTCACAGTTTAACATTACTAATTCATCGCACATTAGTTTTAATAAGGGTTTTCAATATCTTTTTGTTTTTTTTATTTTTGCTAATATAGATACTGCTTGTTTTAGATCCGGACGGTGACGCAGGTGTAAGATGTTACTGCAACACGGCCCAGTGCGTGAGCACAGGGTATATGTGCCGGTCGGCACGCAGCGGGGGTTGCTACAGTGAACTGCCTGCACCGCGACGCACGCATCTTGCCAGACATGGCTGTTTGCATCATTTGGCTGAGACGTGAGTATTTAAATTATACACATATTAACTTCTCGCCATACCTTAGACTAACTACGTTCAATTTCCGTGGGGGTTACGGTTTTGATTGTTAATATTTAATATTTGTATGCATGCAAATGCCTATTTGTATTGGTCAGGGTCGTGTTTTTATAAAATATGTTAATATTTACAGATAAAATATCAATGTATGTACGTGTTATCTCTAAACTTGTAAGTCTGAGGTCTCCCTCAGACTTACAAGTTCTACTTAGAGAGACCCACAAGTTCTACTTAGTTTGGGTCTAGACACCAATGTATAATGTTATACAACTTTAATATTATTTATCTAATCATTAATGCTATAGTCTACCGACAGGGATTAAAAACAATTTTATTAAAGAATTCCATTGGAGTCGCGTAGGAAAGTACAGCACTTAAGGCTGAAATAACGGATTCAAATGCCTATGAATTAGTAAAAGCTGTAATTGTGTCCGTTTAGAAACCCTTCTTGGGCAATCATCTCCCTACAAACCTCCGTAGTTAGAGGTAAAGGTAACGTCAAAGAGGAAAAAAACAAAATAAATTATAAAAAAACAACACCTTTTTATTAATAATGTCTAAACTACTCGCCATTTTACTGGCTAAATCTTTAGACAAACTTATATAAATTGTAAAAGCTATATTAAAAACTACAACAGTTATATAGTCAATATTAAGGGAAAACACATAAATTAATGAAAACCTAAGAATTTCAAGTGATTTCGACGTTTAGAAGATGTGAGCGATAAAAATTCTGGGATACGTTCCTACAACATTCCAGGATAAAGACCCCGGAGATTTTATCATTTCTAATTGCGATTCTAATTAGTATGCTGCCCATTGCTTTATGTCAACCCTTTACAAAAAGACTCGCACATAAATTAACAAATTGGCCATTAGTGCGCTGTCATGCAGTTGAATTAAGTAGAATTTATATGAGACTGCAAGCACCGATGTTGTAAAATGATATTAAGTAGCAGCATTTGAGCGTCTCGATTGCCGTTTTGATTAATTAGTCTCAAGCGATATTTGTTTCAAGATTTACATATTTCTCCTATATTACTAGACATATAAATATATCATCACTAAAATATTGTTTTCAATTACTATTTCTTCATCAATTTTGTAATATTTATTTAAACTAAACTGATTTGAAATGTCAATGTGATGTACACACATTCCGTGTTATTAAGCGCTATCACAAAATTTCAGTATTTTACGAAGTGTCAGTATTTTTTTATTAGGTCATGGCATCAATTAAAGTTTACACTAATAATAATCGTTATCATGTCGTATTGAGATATCCTCATCTTTTTATCACTTTGTTATTTACGATTCTCTCAAATATGCTGCCAGTAATTCTCATCACAGAATTAATTATTCTATTGTTAGACAGCGCATGAGTCGCGCTGTCACCCGTCAAATCTGCTTATCATTGTGAAGCTACAACTCCGATGCTTTGTTCAAGCCCTTCAATCAATTAATACCTCTTTAGTTTTGAAATCGTTGCGGCTTTCAACATCGATGTAACGGCACAATTATAGATATGATTAAATACGATATGTACTGACAAAATATTTATAACCAATACTTTAATTTCTGTTACAAAATATATTGAATGATTCCCTATACTTTAAGAGGCATTCCATCGGCCTTGCATCAGAGAATATGTGAGTACATTAGTCGATATATAATTTCCATCAATAAATGTCTGTTTACTTAACAACAGTAGAACATTAAGTAATCGTGGTATATTTTTTTTCTGTGGCTCATGGTATGTTCACCTCGGTTTATTAATTATACCGGCGAAGGCCCGGCGCGGCTCCGCTCTGTTTTTATACTCTGAAATTACCCGCTCAGTTGATTATCTTATTCGGATCGGCCCGTGTTCACCAAACAGGTTTCCGTTCGCCGCATACCCACTTTTATTTACTTTAAATAATTTTTGCTTCTTTTTGGCAATCTCTGCTATTAACATGGCTAACGATCGCCGTGTCCGCTTCGTTAAGATTTCCATTGAATTCAAATTAATATTCGCTTGTTTTATCGGTAATTAATTGTCGTTCGACTTGTTTACTGTGTATAAAGTGCGGTTGAGTGATGTCGGTTTGATGCCCTCGTTTGTTAAGATAAGGGTGACTGTGTTGGGGTTGCTCAGGTCAGGCTAGATAGTGCAGCTCGGACGCCGACCCGCATTATTCTTTACACTTCCGTACAAAATCAGACCATATCTTATATCAATAGAGATCAAATTTATGTGAAAAAGAAAAGAAAAAAGAGGTTTTGAGAAATCTAGGAAATTTCTCGTCTTTAGAGCTTTTGTTCCAAGAACGAGGGTTTTTTCGCATATGATTCCTAGTCATTGATATCGATGGGTTCGGGATTATTTATAATAGGCAATTGCATGTTAGTAATCAGTGATCATGTTAGATTGGCTAGTAGTACGAGTAGTCTTTCCTTCATGATTCTTTGTTTCGTTTCCATAACATTATCTGTAATTGTAAATACTTCATTAATAATATAACAGATTTCGTTTTTGATAAGAATGCTTATTTAATATTTAGCATTGGTTAACTTTGATAGTAATAAATCATTTATTTATAATTTTAAAGTTGTGATGTTTCGTATTTTCCTTATAATTAAGAATATTAAAATACAAATTGGTTTTCTGTCATTTCAATATCTTTACCTAATATCATCAATAAGAGATATTTAATTAAAAAGCTTTTAATATAATCACGCTATCATATATTATAGTCGGCATCTTGCACGACTCAGTCTCTTCAACACTAATTGAAAGAAAATTCAACACAGCAACTGGTCAGATGCAAGTGTAGATTACGGAGAAATTATTTTTCAACTCATTAAAAGCCTAAGATATCTCTATGGCATATTTTAGCTTCTGCTATTCTCACAAAAATTATTTTATCCACTAATTGCATAGATATTTTGTACTAGTTTTTTTCATTCACTTTTAATTTATTAAATTTTTATTGGCGTGTATGTTATAGGCGTATTGAAAGCGTAAAATATATAGATTGAATTGATTCGCTAATTACATGATCTACAACAAAATAATTATAACCAAACAGGTTTTGACAACCTCATGGCTCGTGACGTGACACTGCGACAAAGTGTAATCTACCATATCGAGCCATAATAAATTAAATGTTTTTTTTCTTGTTATAGAGTCTTTAACGAACTCAATACAGTTTTTGTGTAGTCTGTTATGTGTATAATTTGACGTAATAGGTTTTTAATTTGTTTTTATTTAATTGGATTTATTTTAATATGCGATATAATATATGTTTTTTGTTTAGTGATATCCCCTTAAGACCCATTACGTGTATGAAATTTTCACGTGATGTTTTGAGGGGGGATTATAGCAAGTGATCATCGTTTTAAATGTAAATAAAAAATCGATTGAAGCTTAATCGTTACATTGTTTGCGATGATACAATTTGATTGATTGTCTTAAGACTTAGATATTAGAAAAGCTCTAATAAACGTTGAAGTTACATTTGAGTGTGATTATACTGATTAGTGATGATTATGTTGAAACTGGTCATTTCTTATATCTCTTGTTTTAACTTCATTTTACTTACTTTTAGTTTTGTCGTGTACCACTAACATATTAAACGATTGCTTTTACTTTCCTTAAAAGATAGCGATTTTTTCGATATTTGATTTCAGTCAAACCGCAAACCACCATTTAATAGAGTTTACTATTAGGAATTCATCAGTTCATCAATTTCTTTCTTAATCATCAATTTTTACTTGGTAAGTTTAATCACCAGACATAAGGGCACAGTTGCAAAGTAAAGTTACGTGTATTTATCACGCACAAACAAACTAATAAGTACTGCATATTTGTGGAGTACACAGGAAGGATTAGCGATAAGATAGGGAATATACAGACAAAATCCACATATGAAGAGGAGTCGTAGCAACAAAGCAACTAATGCAAATGTTTATTATAATATTATATCATATGGAAAATAAAATTCATTACATTCGTTTTAACATAAATTAGAGCCTTGTTATAAACCTATGAACTCCTAATCATTGTATTGTGTCATCACTCATAATCATCAATCCAGAGCTATTGATTTGTGTGTGTCATGTGTTCAAATCCGGCACAGGACAAATAATGTCTTATGATCATTATCGTTTCTGAAATTATTAATTATTATTAACTTAGAAATATATAAATATGTAAGTATGTTTATCAGCAGTCTGGCTACCATATGCTATACCTAATTTGCGATCAGACGGCCGTGTATGAGGTCTCTCAATTTTATTATTAATAATACGCTTACTCCACTTTAAAATAAATACTATATCTAATTTTACATAAGTTTTTCATCGCACTACGGCCAACACAGCTCATGAAAACCGCAACCTTAACGCCTTTAACAAAACCATTTTAGTTTTCTTGATTTCGTACTGTTCAAAGCATTCGATTACATCACCCACCATATAACAATTACCACAGTAAAAACACGACCGTATAAAAATTAATCAAGGATTCATCAAGGCGCACACCTGGGTCCTGTGAAGTTTTATTCCTTTAATAGCAAACCTGTTTCTAAAATTGGACCTATGGTTGCCAATAGGTTACTAATCACCAAAACAAAACCAATCCAATCATTCAAGTTATTCAAATCGATGAGATTCCTATCGTAGACACTCTGTCTAATTCCCGTGAGAAACGATGGAAAACTATGTTAATTAAAATAGATGTCCAAATGGAATAAGCTATGGAAAATGAAGCAAATTGAAGGACAGTTCATTCTGTAAAATTGTTAATTAAACTTATGTTTATACCGTTTTGGTTAATTAGATGTTACTTTGATGGCGATTCGGTGTTACTTTAATGCGTATAAACAGACGTGTAATAACGATACATCGTTCAAATCTTCATTTTTAAAATATCCTCTTTTACGGTGAAATTTACGCTTGTAAATTAAATAAACAAAATTAGTTTTGGTATAAATACCTTATACGTTTACCATTTAAAGTACCTTTGGTTTTAATAATACCGTTAATACAACGACAGCTTAAGTCTCCGACCCAACTTGCATCGTAAAATTTCTAGCTACTATCAAAAAACTATAAAATTCTCTATTGCTTACATCGTAAAAAAAATCTTATTCTAAATTGAAAAAGGTAGCGTTCTTACCTTCAGCATATTTTATTCAAGTATGAGCCACTTAGTATAGTCAAAGGCACTGTACATCAAACGCTGTTGAAAATTCAGAAGATAAAATATTACAGACTTAGGTCGCGCTCCTGACTACAAATTTATTCTTTAAGTGTGATTGAAAGGTCCGAAAGATTATAAAAGAAAAGGAAAGAGACAAACACCACTTGTCCCATACAGGGACGCTTTTCCAATATCTAAGTACTCGTAAATTTTAATTTAATGTAAATTTTTGTAAATCCGTGAGAACATGGTCCGTGAGTGGTTTGCGACACCAAAATGATGATTTGTATTCAATGGAGAAGGCTTTATTATCTGACCGCGATGGTCATGCTTAGAGAAGGTACATAAATCCACATGTCTTTATTAGTATTAAGTCTTTGAAATACGACGACGTATATGAGAATTTGTGTATGCTTTGCATAAAAGGCAAGCTTTTGTAACGGTAATCATCGATAAATACAAGTTTTATATAATTGTGAAGAGACATGGAAGTGAAGAAATTTTAATCCTCTGCTTCAACTTTTAATTAAAAAGCTCCATCATTTCAGTAATGACTGTATTGAGAGACAAATAATATAGAATATGCTCGACCGGAGAGATGCTATGGCTTCACAGAAAACCAGTATGAAACCATTTTTCCCCCCTCCTTAATTCATAAGGGGGTGCGCTTTACGGGCGGCATTGTACTCGTGTCTCTTGAGTTGCGGGGTATTGATGGGCAGGAGTAACTTACCATCAGGTGACCATATATAACCATGTTTTTGCTGTGTTGTTGAGTGTACTATGAAAGCTCGATTGACTGATAAAATACTTATATTGTACTTTTTTTTGTAAATACATACATTCAGAAAACACTCAAACTCCGAAAAAAATTTTGCAGTTCATACGAACATTTGGTCCTACCAGGAATCGAACCTGCGACTTCAGCTCAGCAGTCGAATCCGCTGCCTCTGCGCCAACGAGGCAGTCAATTATATAATGTTTATGCAAGTCAATTATATGGGATAACAGTATTTCTTGCGTACCCTATAAACCCTACCCTTGTGTTCGTTGTTAAATTATTTAAATAAAGTAAAATAAAGCATATTACTTCAATTTTACTGAAAGAAGTGTCCCTTTAAAACCAGTTTTTACAAAAAAAATTATTTAAGTTAAATTCTCGGCATCTTGATAAATAATATTGAACTAGGACTATTCAACATTACAATTTACCATTTATTATCACACATCAAACATTATTAAGTTCGTATTTCATACAAATCGTTAAATCAATATCAGACCTTATCCCTGAACTTTCCACTGCCTTTATTATCGTATCATTGAGGCGTCCCAAATTATTTGAAGGTTGTTAATCATTACTGCATATAAGAAGTGTTATCAATAACTGGCGTTCATCGCTTTTAATTCTTCAATCAATTCAGAAAGAGAAGATAAAAAAGTATTACGAGACTATTAAAAAATCATAATTCTCCTCATTTCAGGCTCAGGCTCAGAGTACCATTTAAAAAGAAATTAGTTATATTAGAGCCAGAAGAATCTGTGAGTGATACTGGAACTTCTGGAGCAAATTGGTGCTAAACGATAGAGTTCATTTTATTAAGCTGTGAAGCGACTTATCGAATTCTGTGTAATCGAAAAAGTCATGCGCAATGATCTAGGAGGTATAACGTGGTAATGGGCGCTAATGGCTCATTCTAATCGTAAACGTGTTCTAAGAACAAGGACTTACCTCTGTAAAGAATCATTCCCGCTATTGTTGTTAAAGTACGGTAGTACGGTACAATAGAAAAAAAATCAGATAGATTTGAACAGGTTTAATAGACGAATATTAACCTAATTGTTAAGAGAGGTTTTTAAATTCACAAAAAATTACATTCCGTTCTACGCGTTCGTTGCGAAATGAGAAATTTTAGTTTGTAGGTAAAGTGTTGATGTGATGCAAGACAACTTGGTTCACTGGTTGGATTAAACGTTTTTTCCTTTTGTATTTTAGCTTTTATAATTTATTAACAAAAGACCTTTCTTAACAATACAGGCTCAGGCCTTAGGCTTAGGCTCTGCCTATTTTGGGATCAGACAGCCGTGTGTGAGATGTGTGAGGTTATTATTATTCTTATTATCCGCTCAATCGTACAAAAGCGACAACATTGCTACATGCAAAACTAACATTAACGTCAAATTTAACAAACATGATCTATAAATATTTTGAGTAGAAATAATAAGACACTTCTGAAATACTTCCTTACTGAAAACTAAATAAGGAACAATTAATTAATTAAGATAATAAAAACCCGAGAACAGTACGATAACATAAACATTGTACATACAATCATACAAATGAACACATTAAACGCTTTCAATTCTAAGCCCTCACAACTTGACCATGATACAAAAGGACACATTGCATTTTTTTGCTTTATTAGCGAGCGGGAGTACGACAGAGGCTGACTGCGAATGTTTTTTGCTACAATACCATTGAATCAAGTGAACTCGATATGAATTATTCGTTTGATGTTAAAAAAAACGGCTCGGAATTCAATAAAAGCCTGCCTGCCTTTAATATTTTCATTATGTTCATAACTCGTTTCGTGTCTGACAAGGTTTTTATCGTTCACAGTAGCTGCGGTGATTGCTGCTCGCGTTAGCTTGATGATTTTATAATATATTGTTTGTTGTGAATTAATATTTATATCCGTTACAAAAGCACGTATGATCAGGACGGGTCAAACAGCAAGCGGGAGGAGACGGTGTCGCGATGTGAGCAGATCATAATTTACTATAGTCCATTCGCGTTAAGAAAACAGTGAGGCAGTAGTGACGCATCGATCAAGCACTGCATCCTAACCAATCGGGTTTCAAACTTTCGTACGCATCGATAATGTCTTCTACTCTCATATGTCAGGGGCGGAGCTTGTACGATGCGTCACTATTTTCTTAACGCGAATGGCCTATAATTAATGTATAAGATGTTACAACTTGCCTGGAGCTCTTCATTAGTATTTTAATATTTCAGCCGTTCACGACGTCCCACCGTCTCATCCCGCATGCTGTCTCTCTCATCCTTTAGTGCTAAATACTGGTTTCAGAGCATCGAGCATTCGATTTATTTTAATATTGTCTAAATAGACAAATTTAAAATACAGACCCTGGGATAATTATTCTCATCACATATTCAAAAATATGCTTTAGTAATATCATGTTTGTATATTTTCAGGGAACAAGAAGCTTTATCCCGCTGCCAGAATTCTCCAGGGGTCGGAGGTCCACCATCGTCTTCAGAGCATTCCCTTCTTCTATGCTGCTTTAGGGACCTCTGCAACCACGAAGACAGTCCTCTGGCAAGAGCCAGGCTAAATCTTACTAATAATGAGTATGGTACGTATCTTATAGTTTTTGTTATTCTCGACAATTGATTAAACGATTTGCATTCCATTTTGTTAGAAATAGAAACCATATCTATCGCAATACATAAGTCACCTGACCACCATAAAACCTCGATAGACCTAATGGAAACATTTAGTAAGTTGCAATTGTTACGACAGTACAAATAACAAGTAGTCCTAGTTTATTTTAAAAAAACTAACAGTACAAGTAATGCTTGGTTTATCAGTTTATAAGCTACAAAACTACAGACAGACATATGGGCGTCAAACTCACACCTCGTATTTATGATCCACAGAATATTACGAGTGTTAAAGTAATAAATTCCTCTGTCCGCAATGTAGCACTGAATATTTTTAGTTGCACGGCCTCTCTCTTTATATATAATGGCTAATAAGAGCTTAAAGGATATTAATGGATATTATATTAATGGATATTAATGGATATTAATATTAATGGATTAGAAACAGTCTACACCTTGACGTTTGAAGGCTACAGTGATCAAAATAGTGTTCACTATTGACGCACAGTTCACCACGCACCCACTCAAAACCATCTTAAAACGAAAAACACACAAACAGAATTTGATTTCTGGCTAACTTATACATCTTTTATTGACTGAGTTAATTTACTAATTTATCTGATTCTTAGATTTCACTTAAAGAGTGTGTAAATCTCATCGTTTTGATTCTGTTTAAATAACTTTTAGTGGCTGTGAGAGTTTTAAATAGTATAATTTACATAATATGTCTTGAAATCTATAATTCTTCTATTCTGAACAGTTTGTTAGTTGATCACAATCAGAAAGACTAACATTCATCTGAATTTGCTTTTAAAAAAGCTTTTCCTGACCTGAATATAACTTTTGTTATTTACTTTCCTTCTTTCCAAACAACTCTTATTATCGTACCATATATAATTCTCTTTTTTCTTTCTAAAAAAAAACCTACTATATAAAACTGCTGTGTCGGTCAAATTCCTTGGTTCTGATTGACTGAACTTTGTTAACTTATTTCGTGGTGCAAGAATATCACAAGAAAGAACCTATTATTGGTTGCGACGAATAATAGACGTGAAACCCATTCAAGTTTCCTGCAGTGCAATTACCTTGCAACATTATTGTATGTCTGGTAGTTCATTAGCGACACAACATTGAATTAAGGTTGTAATGAATGACGTCGTGCCAGTAATTCTGTGGCAGGTGATATTGAGCGAGTTAGTTTTAACCTGCTTAGAACAATTGCAACTAAGCATTGCCTACCTACATGAGGTAGGATAAAAATGTATATATATATATATATGACTGCACGGATGGCGTAGTGGTTTAAGCGGTCGCCACGCCGCTTCCTACTACGCCGAGTGTTGTGGGTTCAAACCCCACATGGGACGACACTTTGTGTGATCCACAAATTGTTGTTCCAAGTCTGGGTGTTATTTGTGTCCGTTTCATGTATGTTTGTAAAGTCCCCCGCGACACAGGATATTTTCCTAATGCGGGAGTTGTCTTTTAAAAAAAAAAAAAAAAAAAATATATATATATATATACAGGTAACCATATATCACATAGACGTTTTTTCTATTTTTAGTTTTACCTAGGGTTAATCTATTATGCATGTTGTGACTCCTTAAAATGTTGTGAATTAATCTTAATATAATAGATGCATGCTTTAGATTTTAGTAAATAATGTAACAACTATTGGATGTCCAATAAATAAATACACGAAGACGACGCACATAATTTTAGTGGAATTTTTTAAAACAACAACGCAATAAGCTGCAAGCTATTTTTAATTTAATTTGTACTTATAAAAACATATAATTATAGATTTATCCGAAAACTATCAATGTAATAAAAATTTAATACCTTATTTACGGACCAAACTAATTATGGGTCGTAAATTGCTGTCGAGAAACTCGACAAGACGCAATAAATTCTTAAGTAAATAAAAACAGAGGAAGAGAGACAAGCTGTCTATTCGATACAACCTTCGCAGCAATTGAACATAACTCGTACTATCAATCAGAGTGGATAGAGGCAGATTGTCGTTTAAACATAGAACTGCTGAGCTAATAATCAAGCTCTGTTGTAGTAAATGCCATGCTTATGCCATCTATAACTTCAGACCGCTAGCAGGGTATTAATAGTAGGCTTATGCCTATAAACTACACTGGAGAGCTATGTCCCGATTAAGTACGTACTTTTACCTGGAAATGTCGGCAGCTTATGTGACTTTAGTAAAATAAATTGTGTTCAATAGCTAATTTAAACACTTCTTAAATTAAAGTAATTTTTCTAGTAAGCATCAAAAGAAAAACGTAAACATTTTCTTACATTTTAGAACTTTATGTTACCTCTACGTGCTGCCATTAGCGTGCTAGTTTGGAGTGATGTGCACCAAGTTTCTGTTCACTCTCTCTCGCTCTCTATATTCTCTATAACATCAAGTTTGAACTATCAAAGTTGATGTGTTACGTGATCACACGTGTTCATAGTTGACCTCCAATATATTATATAAAGTCAAGAATTGAGATCGAAAAATGATCACTATAAACTACTTTAAATTATATCAGTCAACTTTACGTTGGGTATGGACTAAATCTGTAAAAGAAAATGAAACAAAAGTGTTATAAAAAAACATTTCTGAAATTTTTGTCCATCTGTATCCGAATTTCCAAAACAGTAAAACAGATTTTCGCGGTACTACAACAAACTAATCAGTAATAATAACACCTATGGAAGATAATGTGCAAGTGTACAACGGAAGCCATGGAGTAATGTAGGTCACTACTTCACAAGTATCCGCAAATCATATAAACACTGTCAGTTGTTTAGTTAAACAATAATTTTCTATAAAATTTATCCGTCTAGCGGATTCCTGGAACAAAGATATTATTCTAGATGCTTCGTGGGTAAAGTAAACAGCGTAGTGAGTCAAGCCCCAGGCGTTAGGTCACAGCCGCTAGATTTGATATGCACTCGCTTTACTAATAACTATAAATCATATGTACAGGTTGCACATTTAACTACACGAATAACATTTGAGTGTAAAACGTGACAACACCTTATATAATAGTTCGTAGGGTCACAGCACCCTATGACTCCAGTGTGACCGAATAGCATCAGTAACAGTCAGGAGCGCGACCAGACCAGACCTCTCTTAGCATAAAAATGTATACTCCTAAGTGTTAACACTATTTATCATTAAGGATTCACAAAGACGTTTGTATTTATAGAGTTAGCTCCTTAGGAGAATTTCCCTGTCTACTTATCTTAAATACGAAATAACTTACAGGTGAAGTTTACTGCAAGTACATCCCACTTTATTTAACAGACACCGACGTAGTTCTATGACAGTACTTCAGATGTACCAGTTGCTATAATGACTTTCGCTCCCGGCACTGATTGCGATGAGCCATTGTTTTAACTCGTACTCCTTTGTTGGAATTAACATGTGCCAAACTATGTCGATTTCGACTCTGAATACAGCCCTTCAAAGTTTATATTGGCTCGGATTGCAATAAACTGTTAATCGCTGGTTATAAATAGCTCGGGACCTGTTTGGATGACCGCATCTAGAAGTGGTTTTTGTTCTATTACAAAGGATGGATTCTTCGGTTTATTCGCATCAGGATATTTGTGGTGCAATTACAAGATGTACATGACTTTTTTATGGAATCTACCTCATATAGCAGTATGGGGTAACACGTGTGTTTAGATTAAAACTCTATGTTTGAAAATCACTTGTATTTGAAGATGCGATCCTAAAACTACTCAACTTTATATACCTACGAGTATGTGTGGATAGATAGAGAACTCGATAGATATACTTAGTTCTATGGTCTTCATCGCTAGTAATTTTGTCAAGACGTGCCCTAAGACTACAAATTGCTCCCGTTCTAATCAGACTAAGACGTCTTTTCAAAGGTCTTGTTTTTTCAAATTACTCTTAGAAAACTAAACACATTTCTTGAGCTTGCAATATCAAATATAGCGATAGCGCAAAAAGGAAATATCTACATCATCAAACAACAGCAAACATCAAATAAAATGGTCCTAGTTCTTAAAAGAAAGCCAGTCGCGACTATTAGTAACTATTTATCTCAAATATCTTAACTTAACGAAAGTTACCAGGACAAGTACTTTTACTTACATTATGTACTTATATGTTAGAAAATATTTGTACTGGAGTGCCTGTAAAATGCGAACCCCCAGAACGATAATACAAAATCATCTTTAGGCAGGCAAATATGTAGATTTTGTCACTTTAGCGGTCCAAATCTATGATCAAAGCTTTTATATTTATGAAAGATTGAGGATTTAATATGCGTGTTTTTTTCGGAGATGTCAGACTTGTTTATGAAACGACGGGCGTCCTTCTCAAGGCGTGAAACTACTGCTGTAAAGCTGTGCTCCACTATTCATCATATATCTTTGCAAAGTGAGACCCGGATTTTAATAAAGGAGTGCTTACATATTTAGCCATTCGTCACCGACAGGCCGCTAATCAATGTAACACATCGTTCGAAGCGAAAGCGTGAATTGCGTTTCATAAGCAACATAAGTATATAACTTCGTATAAAGTAAACACTTTGAATGATTACGAAATTAAAAGCACCTATAGTATACAGTTATTTTGTTGATTGTATGTTTAAATTATTATACGTGTTTGTGACAAATCGTTGTTGGTTGTTTGCGAAACGTGGCAGATAGCATTTGTTGATGTTTATGAAAATTAAGTGTAGTAAGTAATGAAAAACTTAAATAAAACCCAAACATAGTCTACTTAATCATTTAATTATTCATGAATGGTTTTTAACTAAAACCGATTTCTGAATCATGGTACACCCTCGATATAATAAAAATAAGTCCTTTATCACAAATTATTATGCAATAGTTTGTTTGCTCTCCTTATTTTTTTAATAATACGGTTTCTCTGTCTCTTTTTTTACGCAAAATTTTATAATGATCAGTCGAGCAGTTAAACGTGAACACGTAAAGTAATTAATTCATATTCGCATTTTTAATTTAAACCAAGATGTCATTACATTGGGAGTATCTGGCTGACCTGTTCATCTATTGGTTGGCGATCCTGACTGCAAACCATAGGTCATGGGTTCAATTCGAACCAAGGACAAATATTAAGTGATGAGCACCATCATTAGCTCTGTGCCTTAGTCTAATTTATCTATAGTATGTGTGTATTGTGAAATATATTAGTATGTTTATCAAACAGTGATTGCGCCATAGTAGAGGCTCAGCTAGTTCTGATTAGACGGCCGTGTGTATATGTCAGAATATTATTACTTATTTTATAATAAAGAAGCCCACCTTCTTGTAATTAGAATATGTTTGTCTTTAGAGTAGGTTTTCTTTGTCCTTGTTTCGTTAAATCAATTGATGGCACAATCAATTTATGACTATAACAACAATACTCGTAGCTGTAGGCTTAAAATTACGTCGTTAACAAAACACATTCAATTGTGAATTTACATTTTTATTTAATTCGCGTGCAATACAATACTTAACAAGAATATGCAAGGCGATATAACAACTGCCTACCGCATAATACGAAACAATAGAGGCGGATCAATTGTCAAAAAGAATGCCATTATGTTACTCTACACTACACCGATATGCTATTCAATCTAATAATGATGCTTGCATTGTTTTCCTAGTAGTCTTGCACATGAACTTGCGTATACGCATCCAATAGTTGTCGCAGAAGTACAAATGTTTTGTTTTTGTATGTGTGAGATTAAATTAATCAAGATAGAAAATAGAAGAAATCGTTTAGTTCTAATCTAATCTAGACCTTTTTTATTTTCTTAATACACCTGTACAAAATTATCAGGCATCATCAACAGCATTTTATAGTCTACTGCTGGACATATGACTCTCCTTAGAAATGAGTTTTTGGCCTACTATACCACGCTGATTAGACGGGTTGGTTGGTAAAGGGTTTGTTTTAAGTTTTCCTTCTCTTTGCAGTTCTGTTGTCCTGCATAGTTTGGAATTAATTGGAAATGTTTTCCAATTCATTCCATTATGTTTTTAGTAATAGTAATAACATTTCTAGAATTAAGAAGTCACAGTTGCGCCCTCTTCCAAAGACCATTGTACCACAATATCTAGTTCTAGTTTCAAATGATAATTCAAAAGATTTCGAATATCTTAGCAAACGTATTAATGTAAATATTCCTACTTAATCAAAAAAATATTACTAAATCTTACTAACTCATTAATAGATGATCATGACAGTAGCAACTGATGGTTTAAAGAGTATACAATTGGCCATTGATTATCAGTCAAATGTCGATCAGAGACAAGCTTAATTTGACAGTAAGTGGGGCAAAAGTGCTAATGTTCCAAAAAAATGAAGCATTTTGACATGTGACCGTTATTTAAATTTTAAATCTATGCTCATTGTTTAGATAAAGATCTAAGAATAAAATCTTTTAACGGATCTCTGTAACTAATTTTTGTCAGAGTCGATGTGTCGATCTATTTACTGTGTCTTCAGTAGTCTTATTGCACATACGACTTACTCGGATGGCGTGACTGTGCGGGAAAGCGCGTTTTCTATTTGTTACACTTGATGCTGCGTTATTATAATATATTTATCAAATACAGTATACAAAAGCTTTTTTTTTCACGATGATAATAGGTCTAGGTAAATTATTTCATTTATTTATTGTGTTAATTATCAGTATACTCAAAAAGTATTGAATAAAAACAATCCGTAGTTGGTGATTGTCTGATGATGACTGAGGAAATCAAACACAGCTGCCTACACCTATTCAGTACTTAGTGTATCGATCAATTTATATTGAAATATTAATAAAAGTCGTATCGTAATGTGACACAACCTATAACCTTCTTGCACGAATACTCTATCAAAAACAAGACTACTCTACTCTATCAAAGAAAAGTTCTTCGAAACCAACTAATAGTTCGCGAGATTAGGTCGTTATTTTTTTCTTTAAAGCTTAGGAGTTTTTTGTATACATTTCACTTACTGTTGTGTCTTCACAGTCCGAACGCATTTTCTTAGAACAAGATTGCACCACAATTAATGTTACAATTTGCAGTTTCGCAATATATTTTATTGATAACGGTTCCGGTTATAGCTCACGATAACATCGTTCTACAGCCGTACAGGGTGGGCGTTGATTAATACTCTTAGTTAGTTTGACGTACAACTGTAGAACATAAATTGAACAGAGATATTTAATTTGCACTATATCTATTGTAATATGTTTATATGACTGGTAAAGTTTAATCCATCAAGAATAAAAAATTGGTAACCTACTACTGACCACAGTAAGAGGATCTAGGGACTGTCATTTCTTATAGGCGCAAATATCGTTTGAAAGAAATAAATTGCCTAGAAATTGTCAAATTGATAAATGACCTTTCTTGTACGTTAATCTACATAATTCATAAGAATTTGCATTTATTTTATCATTAAACAGGACACGAATGCTATAGATGGTCAATCCTGGCAAAGCATGCATTCACTGGTAAAATATTATTTGTAGTAGTATTAGAAAATTTGTACTTAATTTGGTGTAATTAAATATTATTATTATTATTACCTCCTTTCTAAGGAGAGCCCTATGTCCAGCAGTGGACTTTTAAAGGCTGTTGATGATTATTATTTAAAAAAAGTTTTTGATTTGATTAAATAACATGTGACGAGAAGCACACTCTTCTCTAACTTGTAATAACAAGTTGGAGAAGACAAGAAGACACTTCTGTCCCTTTTTATTCGAGCAGAAAAGAGGAAGAAGGAAAGATGTTACCTAAGTAAGAATGTATAAGGCATTTGCTTATAACAGAATAATGCTAATACCTTTTTATCATTATTTCCAGAAGAGCAGACAGTGGAACGCGGAGCAAATTACAACGGCGAGGTGTGGTTCAAGGCGGCCACCATTGCTGTGCCAGTGTGCGGTGCGCTCATACTCTTCCTCCTCGTAGCTGTGGCAGTGAGACTGCTGAAAGCCGACGCGCTCTTGCACGCTGATAGAAAATTAAGGTGTGTATTGCATCCTTTTCTGAATGTTAAACCTCTTTAGCCATTTTATGCAGGTAAACAAGAGTTGTGAAGTCGCTGATGTTGCCAAACTCACTTAATACACAAAGCAGTGATAACTGGACAATAACGAGTTTCATATAATGTGATGCAGCAACTTGCGATAAAGTGTTGTGGAGTTCTGCAGAATTGCGACACAACAGTGACTGCATTGATTATGTTCCTCCTTAAAGTAGTTCTGAAGATGTAGTCGAACAGATTTGACTTATTACAGATATTTAATCTATTACCGTTCGTCTTTGTCCAAAATATAACAAGTAAAGAACGTATTGAATGTAGAAAATATAATTTTTAAAACTGTTTTTAATTTTTTTAAACAAAACTTATAATTATTTTATTTTTATTTTTTCATTTTCAGAGGCGGCTACATGTCACCTTTAGCTCAACACGCTCCGGATGACGTTAAAAAGGTGTGGGTGGGAACACCTTCTTCCCCTCTTCTGGTCGCGCCAGGCGGGTGCTTAGTCGCGGTGGAACGCGCCCAGCTCGTAGACCCCTGCCAGCAACTCTGTGATATTCAACGGTAGACTGTACCAACTGTGAGCAACCTTTGTGGCGGGTTGTACCGTGGACTGGCGGGATATGTGTTTGTGATCTTATTGGACTGATGGAAAATAAACCTAAAAAAATAATTATTCAGTTGTGTTCAAATCTATAATGATGTTTATAGTTTAGTAAATTTATAGACTTTACAGAAGTTAGCCTTGCTCTTTTAATAACTTCTTAAGAAATAATATAATTAAAAATTGAACTTTAAAGTTGCTATGATATGTGAAAGAAAAAGGAACAATATTTTAAAAACATGCGCCCGCCGTACGTACATATCTTCAGATATCCAGGCCATGGTCTCATTACGGCAATGAACGGTTGTATCATTATAGCCGAGAGCTCTGAAATGTAAGACCATGAGGAACCGGTCTTTTTAATGGACCATATTTATTTAAGTGTGAAAATAAATACATATCTTAAAATCAAACAAATTAAGATGAAAACTGACCCGCCATATTGCCTCATAGATTATATTAAGGCCCGCCTCTGAGGCTTCGGACTGGAAAGGAGATATTTACATGTTAATAAAATTTTAAACGCTTTGAAAATATCACTTAATAGGTTGTGCGGAATCCCCTGACTTGATTAAATTGAATTATAATATATGAGTGAGCGTAAATTGGTTTGTATGTATGTTTAGGTATTAAAAACGACTGATCGCCTAGCCACTGTTATGAAAAGCCATCACTAAAATGCTTTAACAACGTTTTATTGTCAACGTCAGTAAAAGAAGTATCTGCTTCTTTCTCTCCGGGTCTGATAAATAAGGTCTACCTAATAGTAAATTATTATCTCAATATCTCTAGATATAGACATGACATGTCTGCCTCATCTTTATTGACAAGTAATTAGGCAACCTGGCCTTATTAATCCTTGACTTTTTAAACAAAACGTAGTTAAAACATTAGGCGTTAAAGTGGCATATGGGCTTTTTTATGAATCTAATTTCGTAAAATTGATCTCAGATTTATACAAGTAAATCCTCCATTGCACGGGATGACCCGCGGGTATACCAAATTTACCACATTGTATATTTTTTATTGTAAAACTATATTTCTTTTAAGCGCTTTGTGTTCCTTTATAACTTTGTAAATATATACGTTTTTAAGATGGTAACTTTGTAATGGCAGTTACCGAACAGAGTGAAATCAATTACCAATATATCGAAATGTAATGTAATAATGTCAATTATTGTAAACCTAAATCGGACATGAAATGGAATGTGCTGCTGTCACTTCAATATTCTACCCAAAACTACCATTTACCAAGCCAGCATATAGAATATGAAATTGATGTGTGCTTCATTATTACATATATTTTATATAGTTTCTCTTCTTCCTTCAACTTAGATGCAGTTTTTTCGTCAGCTATAGGATATTACAATTTGATTTTTAGTACCCATAAAATGTATTACTGCGATTGCTTTATAATGTAACAACTCTAACGGGTTAAATCTTTATTCTAAAGAAATTTGTTACTTATCTATCAAATTTATTTTTTAGTGCAATAATACACGTCTAAGCTAAGAAGGCTTCTTTCCTTTTTCATATTAAAAATTATATTCCATTATCTTTGAAGTGATATTTTAAAGATTTTTGAAGTTTCTTTATAAAGATTCAACTCGTCTCATCCATGACTATTTGTAACGTTGCATAATACTTAATTTTAAAACAAATAAATAGCTACTTTAGGCATACACATTAATTTCATTTTCTCCTATTCTTAATACTTTATTGACAGCAGATTGACAGATAGATTAAAAATATATAAAATGAATATTAAATATTTAAAGGAATTGTGGACGAACATAGTGATCATTAGTCGTTACTAGAAAATCGAGCCTTATTATGATAACATTTGATAGGTACGAAATATTGTTTTCAGGTGAATATGAGCACAATTTAAATCGTATCAAATCGATGCTATCAACCAAGTGCGATGTATGTCCAATGTAATGTAATACAAAAAATTATAGACATTTTGTTTAGTTATTTATCACATTATAATATCTGCATGCATTTCCTTTTATTAGTTATGTAAATGATATGTATTATTGTAAATATAATGTTAAGTTTGTTACCTGTTATTACGTTGTTAGGGACAGTTTCTGTAAGTGAAATCTATTTGGAGTATTTCCTAGTCTTTTTTTATCTGATTTTAGCATATACTACTTTGTACATTGTACGTTAACTTTGAATAGATTTCACAAAATATGGTCGGCTACAGTAAGGTTATTTTATAAAATTATTTTAATGGAAAATGTTGTATTTAATGTAAATATATTCGAAAATTGGGTTTTTAAATCATGAAATATTTCTTTCTTGTTGTATCTAACGCATGTTCGAAACCTTTTTTTAGCTCCGACACAATTAAACTGTCTATGGTGATAGAGTTGGTGATAGCCCATCTTCATAGTGGTGTAAATAGATGTCAGAATTTTAGGATTGATCACAAAAAAGTAATCCAATCATAGTTTCAGACAAAATCAATCTTATTTTTTTTTCATTCACTTTTTATTTAAATCTTTCCTATTTTTAATCAAATCACATATTTTGAATAACACTAATAAAATGAGTGTTAACGTTGTTTTAAACGTAACTTTTTACCTTCACGAGAATGTGTCTCGGTATGATTATATTAAATTGTAACTTATTTAATTTTTTAAACGACTCTGACAATATTCTGAAGGCGCAAATATTTTAGTCACTGTTTATGGTTTTGTTGAAGAAAGTTGCTGATTCCTTGCTAAGTTAGCAAGGAATGAAAAACTTTTTTCAGTGACTTTTTAACTTTCTAAGTACAATTGGAGCACCTATAACCATATGAATTAAAAAGTCGAGCGTTAGATACTCAATATTACACAAATTAGTTTCGTATGTGTCTGAAAACAATGCTGCATAACTTGTTCCATATTATGTTTTAACTGTATTTACTGTTAATATATATTGTCTACTTGCTAAGCTATCATTAAATACTACCTGAGACTTTAAGACACACAATACGCTAAGAGCCCATACTCAAATAACGTCACAACTGAAAAAAAAATTAAGAAAAAGGCGGTAAATTAAAAGAACAAAAACTCTTGCTTAAAACTTCAAAATCAGTTCGAAATTAGCTTGTAAGCTTGAAAAAAAGTGACATTAATTTAAAATAAGACTATGAAACGTAAAAGTGGAATAAATTTTAAACGCTTAGGTAAAAAACCTAAGCGTTTTTGAGTTGTGAAGTTATCTGACCTACTGGTCACTACTTTATTTAACTTATGCTCATAATCTACACACTAAACTTTAAACGTTTTAAAACTTCGAAATACGTGCTCAGTTTTCAATAGAGCTGTAACTTACTCCAAGTATCATTAAATTAATAATTTCATTTTGTTGTCAGAATTAGGTTTACTGATAAGTTATGCAACATGTATTTTTAAACAGGCAACACTACGACCATAGCAACAGAGATTGTCAAATAAATGAAGCTTCCTTGAGGTGCCTTACACTCGTTAGAATTTTATGCAAAACAAAATACTCCGTAATATACTTAATATAACTGCAATCCATGTAAATATTATCTGTATGTGTATAAATAAATGAAATAAAAATGAAATTATTTTATTACTGGAATGCTGTTGTTTTCTTTCTTTTTTCTGTATTTTTTGTTGTTTCAACATATAAAAAGCAAGATTATAATTATTGCAAATTTAAAATACGCATTTCAAAGAGTTAAATTACACACAAAGATTGTAATATAGTTAACAGAGATTAACAACATCTAAATCTCTATGTTTTATGCTAAAATCAGTTCACAACAATAGCTCAGAGTGCACGCCCTCTTCTCCGAACTGGTCTATAAATTTCCGAATCCACAAGTAGAAAATAGTGTGTTACTTGTACCAATTACTAAGCACCTGAGAAGAGATTGGTTTTCTTTCAATCGAACCTAAAGTAGAAAGAATGTCTGCAAATTTTGCAGAGGACCTCACTACCTCACTATTACACTGTGAAGTGCAGTGATGGTTTCCAACAACTTCACTGTACAAATAACACCATCCTTCATTTCTGTTGAAAATATCGGAACGCTTTTATATGTTTAGTAATTTTAACCAAGTAATAATGTGTGAGAGAAAAATATAAGTCGGGGCAAACATCCAGCTATCAGTGGAGTGATGGGTTCTCAACATGCTTCAGTGGGGTTAAACTCGAAATAAAAAGTTAGTCCTGGGGTCTTCTTTAAGAATAAGGAATTTCAAAACTCATTGGTCCGTATAGTTAGATAGGTAGATAGAAGCTGTGAAAACAAGAAATATACATAAAACATCACAAAATACCTTGGAAAGGCCAAAAATTATGTGATTACTAATGCTTGATGACTCTTACGAGTATATTAGGTCTTTACCAACAACGTATGTATGTAATACGAGTAAGTAAATTTTATTTTAGCTAATTAAAGTAATGGCCCAAATTGTCCCATTTTAAAGGCAGTTTGTTTATCTCTTTACTGTAGAAGTCTGCTGGACGGAAGGCGATGAAGTCAGCTAAAGCGTTTTGTACTGCCTAATTTTTGAAAAACGTAGAAATTTGCTGGGGCAAGGTCCGGTAAGTACAATGGATGACGAAGAGTTCCCAGTTAAAGTATAGTTTCCAATTGTAGCTTTGCGATGGTCTGTCGTAAAATGTGTAAAGAAATAACGGGGAAGAACGATTGACCAGTCGTGGTTGTTGAATTGCTAGCTTCTCTATCATTGTTTGCAATTCTTGGCAATAAACATCTGCCGTCACTGTTGTGCCAAAGTAAGTCGTAAGAAGCTGTGATATACAAGTCCGGTACTGGTCTACCAGACAGTCACCATCATCTTCCTATAGGTAATATTTTTCACTATCAAGTTTGACAAGAGGCGATAAAGTCAGCGAAAGCGTTTTGTATTGCCTCTGAGGTGTTGAAGTTTTTGTTACTTAGTAAAAATCCTAAATTTTGAAAAAGTATCTGTTGGGGCAATGTCCGGTGAGTATGGTGCGTGACGACTAGCTTTGCGATGGTCAGTCGAGAAATGTTAGCTTGCGCGTGGTCCTGGAGAAGCAATGGGGAAGAGCGACTGACTAGTCGTTGTTGTTGAATTGTGAGCTTATCCATCATTGTTTGCGATTCTTGGAAATACACATCTGCCGTCACTGTTGTGGCAATCGGTAAGAAGTTGTGATGTACATTTTGGCACTGGTCTACCAGACAGTCACCATTATCTTCCTATGGGTAAGAGTGTTTTTTAGCGTACTGATTGGGTGCTGCACCCGGTCCTGGTAGTGCAATGCATGCTTCAACGTGTTAGTCTCGCTGATGGTCGTTTAGTTCGTGCTGCATCCGCTTATACAGCTTTTTTATCTTGTCGATTTGACGCAAGTTCTTCAATATTGTTTTGACACTAACTTCAAAGCCCGCAGCAAGCTCAGCCATAGATTGAATCCGATCCGCTTACACTATCGCCTTTAATTCCTCGTTGTCGATTGTAGTTACCGACCGAACAAGAGGTTCGTTCTTCAACTCAAATTCACATTTCAAGATCTAAAACAATTGAACCAATAATGGACCGTGTTTATGCAAGCTGTGTTAGGCCCGTACACGTACGTTACGTACAAGTACGTTAACTGGCCGCTAAGTTAGATTATTCTACTGACATAGGATTTTGAACTCTATTTTACCAATGTAGGTCTGTTCTACAAATCGTTCTCACTACATTAAATAATTAAGAAAAAAATAAATACTCTACATGACTACTCCAACCATGTTATAAATATTGCTGTTGTTTATAACCTTGATTATGGCAATTATTCGCCGGAAATATGTATCTTAGATGTTATAGATAAGTGTTCTAATATTAATAGATTTAAAATAAGTAATTTTAAACCTTATCGTCATAGAAATAACTATTATAAACATTTAGAAATATGTCGCCAAATTATGACAAACATAAATATAAGATATTAATATTTTTATGAAAGTTAATGGTTGTCGGTAATCGATACAGAATTAATGTAAAAACATCTTATAAATAGGGAGATTTCACTAAAACATGTTAAATATCAAATAATTTTCGACGCGGTTGTACCATTCTTCAAGGCACCAATGTGAGTATTTTAAATTTATTTTATATCGTTATAATTTAGAAAAATAGTAAAGCTGCTCATGGCATGATAAACCCTCGTGACCCCATTCGGGTAATTTTAACAAAAATTAAAGACATTAACTAGTAGACAACTATCATAAAACGAATTCACTTTTTATTATTATTATCATTCAGTGTTTGCTCCCTGAGATAGATCTTACGACACCCACGGGATGAATAAGGGTGGTGACACTCCGTATTTTTAATACGTCACTACCACCTGTCTGCCTATATTTAATTTTACCGCTTTAATTCAGGTTTAAGATCGTTTATTTCTCACAAAGAATAACATAAACTATTCACTTACATGAGAAAATCAAATTACAGTTTCATCGATTTAGCTGTGATACAGAAGAAAGCAATTCATACAAAATATCAACAAATGATTTCCTACACAAATATAGTGATACAGAAAAAAGCAATTCAAATAAAATAATTTCTTACACAAATATAGTGAGGGTAACTTAAAAATATTATACATTCCAAACATTTGTTGATCCACGCTTGCAGTAAATACAGCGATCGAGCGTGCCTAGAAGTGACAAAACTTTTTGTACACACTACAATTTACTTTTACATATTTTGCACTATGAGAACTATTTTCTGCTAGTAATGGTAGTAAATTGTAGTATAAATTTTTATAATACAATGAACTTAGTACATATTTCGTTGATTACTAATTGAATTATTATCTGTATATCTTATTTGTTAGCGTTGTATATATATGTGATGGCGTTGATTAATTTAGATTAAATTAAATATTTTTATTATTAGTATTAGTGCATGTAGTATCATTATTAGTTTAACTATTTATTAAAACGAACACAATACATTCACACAAATATATAAACCCACAAATTTATGCAATAAAATATATAAATTAATGCAGTAGATAAACATTATAATTTATAATTTTTTTTTTTTTTTTTTTTGCTTATATTATTTATCAATGATGTGATACTTTAATAATTTTTTGAAAGTGTGTATATTTTTCGCAGCTTTTACCACATTAGGCAGCTGATTATAGATTTTAGCACCTTCATACATAATACAACTCTTTCCATAATTTGTTCGCGATTTTAACATAAATATATCATTCCTACTCCTAAGACCGATTCTATGCACATCCTTTTTTTTATTAAATTTTATTTGCGTATGTATATTATTAGTTAGTATTTTTCTAATGAGTATACAATTTTTATATTTGTATGTCTGTAGAACAGTCATGATTTTGGTTTCCTTGTAGATTTTTTGATTTGACGTGAGAAAATCGAAATGAAATAATTTCTTTATTAGTTTATTTTGTGCTGTTTGCACGGTGTCTAGATTGCTTTTAGCAGCTGCACCCCATACTTCTATTAAGTAGTCTATATGCGGTTTTATAAGTGAATTATATATAGTGTGCCTTAATTGACGCGGTATGCAACGTACGATGCCACGTAACATTCCTGACAATCAGACAAGTTTATTTCTTAGTTTTTGTATGTGCGGTTTCCATGTAAGATTTTTATCCAAAATGAGGCCCAGATACTTTTCTTGATTTACTTGATTAATTTTTACATTATTAATAGTTAGAAATGGCAAATTTGGGATTTTTTTGTTTTTAGCCGAGAAAATAATGTAATTAGTTTTAGAGATATTAATAGTTAATAAGTTACTGAGAAACCACTCATTCAACCGTTCAACCGGCAGAAACCTATTCAATCATAGGTCCAATGACGTCAATTAACTGAGCCTTAACCATAGTACTGGTACAGGACAGATCAAGAATAAATAATCAATAATTAAAGAATACATTACGATAAAGTACTGCATAAACAAATAACTGCTCATATCTGGATGCTAACTCAGATGCTAGTCACGTCTGCTAGCTAGGTTTATTAACAGACGTCGCTTGATTTTTCACATTTTAAATGCGTTCCTACTAGACTGAGATGTTTCTTATTGGAGTGGTAAATAGCTTCTTTAAAATGAGGTTTGGTAAAAAAGAGAAGCGACATTTTATGTCTCATCCTTGATTTTTAAAACTAAATTAGATATTACTTTCCACAGTACAGTTGTTAATGTATACCGCTTCTATGTAAAGGTTGCTCAGTAAACCTAGTATTATTTTTTCTCTGCTACGTACATACATGACACACTCACGGCTGTATCCCCGAAAAAGTAGCGGGAGAGGTTCAGTCGCGGTTCCAGCTTTTATATAGTGTAGCTTTTATAGTGTAGTTAATTACTTATACCAACCCGTCTGGCCAGCGTGGTATAGTAGGCCAAAACCTCCTTTCTAAGGAGAGGCCTATGTCCAGCAGTGGACTAGTATAGGCTGTTGATGATGATAATTACTTAAAATTATACGAACTAGACCCGGGTCAAGGAGAGTCATAACCTCCCTGCACTTATATCTACCCTCAAGGGCTACCGATAATACGGCCAACCCTTTACCGATAACTGGACATTTTGGGTTTAAAAAGCTGGAATATTGGTGTACTTCTAACTCTCCCAATTAAAAGCAATAGACGGGAATGCAATGGAAAGAAAAGTTTTTTTGTATGTATAATATGTAATGTCTTTGTCTTTCATAGTAAGAAGGTTAAGTTCAGATTCTTTGTACACACGCCGTACACCGAACTTAAACTGTTTTGTTGCCGGGAAGTCCGAACAAGGCAGCCAGACATCTTAATGAATCCGGAAGGCTTAGAACAGCTAGGCTCCATTTGATATCATCAGTATCGCGAGTGTGGTTGGTTTATAAACCAATTAAAATTTGAACGTGGTTACGCTGGCATTAATGGACATTTTGTTCATTCACCATCCTTCGGGATAAGGTTTATCCTCTCCTGTAAAGCTGGTAACGAGTGTAGCATTCTTCGTATTAATGTATATTATATACATATATTATTATTGAGTTTAATTTTGTAATACTTGTCGTTCACTTTCTTTTACTTTTTCTCATAGATAAACAATAGGTCATGGTTAAAGCGTTTTTCCTGAATCTAATGAATCATGACATTGTTATTTATACTATTTATCTTGATTATTTTTTTAATACGGGTTGTGAGTTGTGAAATCCTGTAATAACTGACCGCTATTTTTGTTAATATTAGTTTTTATAGGACATAATTTCATTTTTATTATGACATTCATCAATTATAATCTTATTATTCAACTCACTTTTAAATTTTCATACTATTTGCCAATTTATTAATTTTTCTTTAAAATTTAACTTAAAATTGGCTCTCCTGTAAAGTTCACAAAATGTCTCTTAAACTAAATAGTCACGCGTCGATATAAACATTTAATAACTAATACAAATGTAAATGCTTCTTTGCGCCATATTTATTTAAAATGAAGCACAAAGAACCCCTTTTTTTTCTGTGCGGAAATCCCCTCGGATACCACTTACCGGTGGCAATGTCGGACTCGAACCGACTAAAACCGCACGCCGTCTCGGGTACCAGTAGTCAGGGAACCAGGTGTACCCTAGAACGCAAAGAACCCCTACGTAAAATATAGATATAGTTAGGATATTAACGTACAGACAAACAAACGCCCATTAGATTATTTCTTAACCCACAATGTAATTATATAAGGTAATCACTCAGATTTGCATTCTATAATTTTCTTAGCTACCTACCAATACCAATGCCAATACCAATTATAGGTATACAATGAAATAAAAGCCTAAACACAGATTAATCTACCGCAATATTGTTTCTAAAGCTTCGAAAACCACTTTACACAGCCCCTTCTACAACTTTATTTAGTCTTAATATTGTTGTAATAAGCTTATATTAATTACAGAACAATATGACGGAGAAAAATAATTGTGATGGTAAAAGGCCAGAGGGAAAAGTGTTGAACTTCGATCATCTTGTGTTCAGAGTGTCAAATGCTAAAACGGTAAGTACTTATACAGTATTTTGGCAGAAAAACGCCTTAGGCATTAAGTCATGAAGTAAATCTATATATATGAAATGTTAAGTTTGTTCGCGTAGTACGCTTTAAAAACTTAAAAGTTCTGCTGAATGCTGTTGATGTTTCACATCAACAGCCTTTCATAGTCCTTTGCTGGGCATAAGCCTCTACTTAGAAAGGAGGTTTTGGCCTACTATACCACGCTGGCCAGACGGGTTGGTATAGGGTTTGTGTTAAGTTTTCCTTCTTTATGCAGTGTGCGTTGTTTTGCGCCCTAAGTCGCCTCGGGATGAATTGGGGTAGTGACATTCCATATTCTTAATCTGACACTACACGGTTGTTATGTCGGTGACACTCCTTCAAAAGTTAAACATTCATTAGATTTGCCTACAGTAGGCAATGTTGCAAACGTATGTAACTTAACGGTCATATTTATTTATTTAAACTTAATGCACATGTTGTACAAAGGCGGACTTAATGCCATTAGGCATTCTCTCCCAGTCAACCTTCAGGTGATGTAGAAATATGATGCGGTAGCTGCGAAATTAAATATTAAATTTAACATAATTGAAGTCCAGGGATGTCTCTGGACACAATACATAAACGCATACACAGATAAACCTACATAGATTTAATAAAATACACACGTAATACTCAGTCGGGTACTATCGTTGTGACTGTTGTGCCAATTCACTGTCTCTTGAATGCAAGATCATATTTAAATTCATATTTACTATGCTAACGACCAAAAAAAAATTTCATTTTAATTAAGAACCCAAAATAAAGATAATATACCTAATACGTAGGAATATTAGGTACATATTCATTGGACGTATAAATCCATGCGTATTTATTATTTAAACTAAATACAACATAGCTAATAACAAGCTTTTGTAAAATTATAAAGCGTAAATAAAAAAAATTAACAAACTGTTTCCCTGTTTTCAACTTTTTTGATAAATTGTTTAATTACAGACTTCAAGTTATTTCACGACAAGGTTTGGCTTCAAGCCTTTGGCTGTGAGGGAGGCAACTGACGCAAGACCCGTGCTATCTATTGCTGTTCAACTTAATCAGGTACTAATTCACCCAATACACTATTAAAGGATAAACCGTATCTTAAATATGTTAAGACTAATATGTCACATGTTCGAAGGCTCGGTACAAATATTGGTGTTCATTAACTTTTGTATTTAAGTTGTTCTTTTTAGATTTATATTAACAAAAAAAAATTCTAGAATCCATAATATTATCCTACAGTATGACATTGAGTCTAGATATTATTATATGTCCTAGAATATTATTATTACTCGTATTATTTATCTCAAGACTAATAACACTGATTGATACACACACATTTAACAGTTATATAAGAAGTGTGTTCGGTATTGATGAAAACTCGCAATAGAAAGCTGGTTTAGGCAAATGGTAACAATAAAATCTTGGTTTTCGTTCATAAACGATGATATTGACTTTCCTAATAAATTTCAAAGTTCTTAGATTGCGTTATGACGTGCCGCCATCAGGTCAATAAAATACTAAGTTACATTTTTGGAAATTGCCTACTACTTTGTTTCTTTCATGTAATTTATACTTATTATAATATTACGGTTAGTAAAGAAACCGGCAGAAAGTAGAAACCTACCAAGAAAAAGGTCTTTTATGTTAGTCTTTCATAAAACAGATTAAAAAATCATAAAACATCGACGTAAATTACATCATTCTATCTTCATCATCATTCATAAGGATAGCGATAAATTCACTTATAAGTAAATAGTAATTCATATTAAATTTGGTAATATTAAAAAAAATTAATAATTTACGCTTTTATTAATGAAATGGTGTCACCACAAGAGGGCACCACAGCCTCTCAGCCTTCAAGTCAACCTCAATTTACGCGGAAATATAAAATGTAATAATTGAAAGGCGTTTTAAGGCCACATCTTTTAATAAAATGTTCCTTAAATTCTCTGGTCGTTAACTGTTGCTTAAGAATGAAATTAAAACACTTGAAAAATACTCAATTGAATAAACTTTTTGTTCAGACGCTAATGTTAATGTTGGGCTATATTTTTATGTATTTATAAATGGCTTTTAGTATCTTATCCCTATACAATAAATAATGAATTATTATTCTTTTATACTCAGATAACCATAGTATTCGAGTCACCCACGAATAGTGACAATGAGATAAACAGAGACTTGTGCGCTCACGGGGACTTTGTAAAAGACGTAGCATTCGCAGTTCAAGATCTGGACGAGTTGGTGCGAAGGGCAAAAGAGGGAGGAGCTGAAATCATTAAAGAGATTACGGAGGAGAAAGACGAGTACGGCCGTGTGAGATACGCGGTGGTTAAAACAGTAAGTTTATTATTATTGCCGATTTTTTGTCAGAGGCTAGTCGATGTCCCTGCCGATAAATCAGACGGAGAAACAGGTACCCGATTCCGGTCTCTTCTAGCTCTTGTTTGGGACTGAGTCCACAAAGGTAAGTCTCGGATGGAGAAACAATTATTCTCAATTTAATTTACCATCTCCTTATTTTCTGTCTCGTCTGAAAACAATAACATACCTATGGCGGGTTGGTGTAAAGCAGGCGGGCGGTTTTATGAAAGAAACCATCCGGATACAATTTGAAACAAAACGAAACCCACACAAAATTTAACTAAAAAAGCTGGAAGATGGATGACATTATTGTAGTTAAAGAAGTATTTGATGGTCAACAATAAATATAAATTCTACTTTAATTTGAAAATGAATCTGTTTTGAGTTTCTTTACAACAATCTGCATTTTCCAGTATGGAGACAACACACACACTTTGATAGATCGTAGTAATTACAAAGGAGTACTGTTACCGGGGTATGAACCAGTGGCTGATGATGTTCTGAACCATAGTTTGTAAGTAGAATAGCATTTGCTACACATCAAATAATATTATATTCATTAAATTATTTCACTTCAACGTCACCGCTTTATAGGTTTTTACGCTCTTTCATACTTTTTCAGGCCTGAAACGAAACTTATGTTCATTGATCATGTGGAAGGGAATATGGCTGACGGAACCCTTGAAGACTCCGTGTCTTGGTATGAGAAGAATCTCAATATGCAAAGGTATAGCATCTATTTGCAATTATTAAGATAAATTGAAATTCCGATTTTAATGAGCCCTTGCTAAAACCATCTATAGGGATAGGACTATTGCAAAATTTCCTATTTAAAACTCTTCTAAGTGAATCGTTACTATTGGAATAAAGAAATAAAATTCTAAATATATTTTTCTAGATAAAGTTCTACATAATTTTAGAATCACTTAAATTAAAAGAGGCAAACCTTTTACCGTCAAACGGGCACATATATTTCGAAATGAATATACTTAGAAATTTCAATGTATATACGTACATAAATTACACCCCCTTACAGAATAATTAATCGTGTTCATCACACAATATTTGTCCTAAGTAGGCAGGAGTCGAACCCACGACCTTAGATTATAAATTATCTAAGCCCACGACCATTGGCTTATTAGTTAAGTTCGCTAACCACTAGTAGACCAACAACCAACAGTAATTTATAACCTCTAAGCTGTTATTTATTGCCACTTGTAGTTTGTATTGATCAGACTTAATAAATCCCACTAAAACATTTTCATGTTAAATGTTGCTAAGTCGAGACCATAAGGCTCACACTGTCAAAAAGTTATCAAATCTCAATTAGAGCCAAGCTTCTAACTCTACACTTCCTAACCACACAAACTCTACGCTCTAGCCAAAATATGTGGTTTTGCCGTTTTGTGACTACTACATTATTTGCCTTACGCCCATATAACGGTATCTAGTCTTAAATACTTGGACGCAGTTAGCCATCCACTGTCTAAATATTTAAGACTGTTTATTATTCCCTTAGAGTGCTTTGGAATTTGGAATTTTTATTTTAAAGTAAAACATTAAAACAGTTTGTCAAGGCCCAGTCATTCATATTAACTCTTAAGTATGATGTTTTCAGATTCTGGTGCGTTGACTACAAACATGATCTGGTTCCATATTCTTGTATCAACTCCGCATCTGTTATTAACAAAGATGAAAATGTCCTCGTGAGTATTGCTAATTATATTTATTAATGTTTTAACGTCAATGTTGTTCCAATTCTGACAGTGAGTATTCTTTTTAATTTAGTTGCTTTGCAAGTTCTTGTTCTACTAGTTAAGCTATAAAAGACTTTACCTATGACAACAGAGTACAGTAATACTATTAGAGACCTATGACCGTATGCATAGGTGTCCACATTAAGCACTTCAGAACAATCATTATTTAAATACAAATGCAGTTGTATTTTGTATTGCATGTCGTTTAACTGGTTCAGTACACATTGTAGTGTTCGTTCTTCACATATTATAGTTTGTTTTGAATTTATGTTGCAACAAAAATATACATAAACATATGAAGATATGAGAGAGAGAGAGAGAGAGAGAGATCTTAAAATGTATGTCTGAGGTACAAGTAAACCTGCCGCTTTCTGCCGTCGATGTGTAGCCTTCTCTCCACCCCCTTGGCTTTATGTTTTAAACACTCGGAATTAGGAACCAAGAGCATCGGAATTAGGGTTTTTAGGCGTAGGAACCAAAGGAGCAGATGGGTACCTGAAAACAAGCTACTATCGCCGCCCATGGACGCCTACAACCCAAGATTCATAAGTGCGTTGCCGCCTTTTGACTCTTCCCCTCCAGAAATAGGATGAGGAGATTAGTGCTCCGGTAACCTCACACATTCGGTAAAAAGCAACAAAAGAATTGATTAACACCGATTTTGTGTGAGGCCGTGATCTCACTCCGGATGAGCCGGTTCATTCATTCATATTTAATATATAAACCTGTTTTCTATAATAAAATTATTACTAATTTTCAAAAGAAATAAAACATATTTGAAACAAGAAAATTCCGTTAAAAGAAAATTGAACCGACTCCAAACAATAATAACAAAGAGCACTAAAAACCTAGCAGCTCGGTTGATTTGCTTTCATTTTCCGTTCCGTGTCTCAGAAATTCATTCATCATATCAATATGATCATCAGATCAATATGAAATTTAAATGTGATCATTTTGAAATAAACCCCTTTCTAACAAAAAATGAATGTTGAAAAGCCGTCTATATATGACGGAGTTATGCTCGAACATACATAAAAAAAACATCCGAATTGATGACCTCCTCCTTTTTGAAGTCGGTTAAAAAATAAACATTACAGAAACGTAAACACTATTATATGATAGATATTCTTTTAAATTATGGTGAAAATTTGATAATATGTGTTTTTTTTGTAACAAACAAAAGAAATAATAATAGTAAAAAGAGTGATTACAAATGTCATTTTTGTTACAGTTGTCTATGAACGAGGCTGCAAAAGGTTTACGCCCTACAAGTAAAGCATCCGAGTTTGTGAAGGCTTTGGGAAGTTCCGGGGTGGAACATGTGGCCTTATACACTGATGATATAGTCTCCACTGTAAGTCAAAATTATTTATTTACTTTTGACCCCTGAGTTACTTTTACACAGAGTGTTACAAAAACTTGTGGTCATTTTATATTGGGGTCATTTAATTATACATCTTCATAAAAAGTTATTAATTTTAAGCAAATTCCTGTTTATTATACCGTAATCTTATTGTAAAACTTTGAAATTGAATATGAAAATTGATAAGATGAGTAAAAAATCACGTAGCAAGAGTAGAAAAGCTACGGGCCCTGCGCATTTGGGGGCCCCGCGCACCAACGCTTTCTAATCGTAAAAAAGTATTTACATATGTCGATCGAAGTGTGAAAATATTTTTCAAATCAATATAGCCACAATTCTTATCACGAAAGAGTTGCATTCAAATGTTCAGCTATAATTGAAACTTTTAGTACCACCTGGGTCCACCCTTGGTTGACAAAAGTCGGCCAAGGGCAGACGCAGCGCCGACCAGTTTTGTAGTAAGCTGTCGAAAGTACTCGTCAAAAAGCCATCTCCCGTCAAGTATCAGGCCCAGATACTTCATCTTAGCCTGAACCGGTAAGATGATCGAGTTGACCACGGTTGATGACGACCATGACGAGACTCACGAAATAAGAGGGCCGCCTTCATCTTCTCATCCTCCGCCATCTGTCTGCCACTTTAGAGATTAGATAAGATTACACATAAATAATTGAGATAGTAGTTAGGGGATAACCACCACCATTTTCTCAAAAATACGACGTAAGGGTCACCCCCCAGCCTGGTCAAACAAGTTTTTGAAGCGTAAAACTTTTTTTTTATAAGTAGAACAAGATACATATATAGATAATATTATCTTCATTAAGTTTAGGTATGTCTCCGTTGTGTTCTTTTATTTTTATCTTAAAATGTCGCCTCTTCGGGAGAATGTTTTTCTTTATCTTCGATTTTTATACGAGTATAAGGTTTTAATTATCTTATTTTCTGACTTAAAAAAATTAAAACAATAGATCCTCTAGCAATAAAACCAAACTTTATGGTCTCACATTCAATATTAAGTGAAATGCAGATAAACTCGAATAGTGACGCTAAAATTAACACATTGGGCAGTCAGAGTTCATTGGTGAAGGTCGCGGTCACCGTCGCGGCCTCAATTCTGCTATTTTAATATTGTGTCAGTAAACTGTCGATGGAATGTCGTCGGAATCGTTTTGCACTTTTCCTATTCTACTAACTGTCAATGACTTGTCACTGATACAAATGTCGTCGATGTCTTTGTAATAGTTTGGTAAACGGTACGTTTAAAATTTGTTAGGAAATGAAATATGTATTCAATTTTCCAGGTATGGCAATGTTTTTGATATCACCATTACTACTATTTCGACAGTCTATTGACACTGTGAATTGTGTGTGTGATGGCGCAGTGGTTTAAGCGGTCGCCACGCTGCTTCCTACTGCGCCGAGTGTTGTGGGTTCAAACCCCACATGGGACGACACTTTTTGTGATCCACAAATTGTTGTTCTAAGTCTGGTTGTTCTTTGTGTCCGTTTCATGTATGTTTGTAAAGTCACATCGACACAGGATATATTCCTAATGCGGGAGTTGTATTTTATAAAAAAAAAAAAACTGATATTTTGACCGATGTCAATGGCATCTCAATAGCTTGTCAATGGAATGACACTGGCTTGGCGTTAACATAAAATAACAGAATTGAGGCCCTGTACTCGTACCTAGTCCCCCAGATTATTATTAGGTAATGAATATGTCGGCAAGTCGGCACGGTGACGTTGCAATACTAAATGTCAACAATCTTACGTATTCAAATTTAAATAGATGCTAATAAGATAATTCTTTAAATTTATTTCAACACCAATTTAATATTGTGCTGAATCTTTGATCTAAAATCCGGTTCAACATTATAATATTTTCAATAAAAAAAGCCATAGCTATATACAGGGTGACCTTGAACTTTTCGTCCAAATTAACACAGAGGAATCTTTAGTAAAAGTTATGAGAAACCTGCATTTTAGTTTAGTATCACATGGTACAATAATATTGAGTAATTAGCATCACAAAGTTGTCTCAAGAACTCGCAATTTGTAGACACACTGCAATCGGTAAGCGCCAGATGTCAATGACCTCTCCATCGGTATCGCATACTTCGCTACATTTCATTGATAAATAAAGTACCTTAAAGAACATCCAAATACTAAAACTTCACTTAATTAAAGGGCACGTTTGAAATAAGTGAAAAATACATAAATCTTTAGTGATATGTACAATAATCTATACTAATATTATAAAGCTGAAGAGTTTGTTTGTTTGTTTGTTTGTTTGTTTGTTTGAACGCGCTAATCTCAGGAACTACTGGTCCGATTTGAAAAATTCTTTCAGTGTTAGATAGTCCATTTATCGAGGAAGGCTATAGGCTATATATCATCACGCTAAGACCAATAGGAGCGGAGCACCAATGAAGAATGTTTCATAAACGGAGAAAATTTATTATTAAGAGACGCAGACAAAGTTGCGCGGGTCAGCTAGTTACTTAATAAAAAAGAAATTAGAGGTTAACTTACAACTACTGTTTTACATGTATTTTAATAAATGTTCATAATGTAGTCGTCTAGATATCTAGATTCAAAAGGTAGTCTACGAGTAGATCTTGTCTAAAGACGTGTGAGTTGTGATATGACCACCAATGTTCACCAGGGTTTCGCACACGCCTGACCCCACCACACTGCGTACCCTGATGCATTCTTTCTCTCACTGTTTACGTTTTGTATATATGAATCAGTGACCACGCTGCTAAATATTTTCTTCGGGATGAAATATTTTATGTTGAAAATTTGACCTACCATTTTTTTTACAAAAATGGGGTCCTTAAATAATGTCTAGTGCCTAAAAAAAATTTAATAAAAACCCGTTTTAAATATACCAAAACGTATACCTACTGACAGGCATGTTGGTCTAGTCACTAGTGGTTAGCGATCCTGACTGCAAATCCAGAGGTCATGGGTTCTATGCCCCCCCCCCCCCCCCCCCACACAAATAATTGCGTAATGTGCATGTAATTGGTTCTGTGTCTGGGTGTAATTTATGTATATATTTATTTCAAAACGTATATTTACGTACAGGCTCTGCCTAGTTTGGGATCAGACGGCCGTGTGTGAGATCTGAGGTGTGTAAGGTTATTATTGTTATTATTACGTAGAATTTGAGTACAATAATATTAAAGTAAGGTATCTCTATTTTAAAACAGATGAAGAGTCTAAAAGCTCGCGGTGCTGAAATTCTAACATGGCCGCCGACTTATTACGATTTGATCAGGGAGAAACTAGAAGGAAGCTCACTCAAAGTCGCCGAGAGCATAGAAGCTTTGCAGGAACAGAATATTCTGATCGACTTTGATGAACGTGGCTACATGCTGCAGGCTTTCACGAAACACGTGCAAGCCAGGCCGACTGTGTTCATTGAGGTTTTACAGAGAAGAAATCACAGGGTAAGTTGATATTCGACAAGTAGAAAAGGTTTTTTATACGAGATGTGACCGATGTGACGGTGTGATGTGACCTTGGGAGAGCCTTCTTAAGCACAAATGGGCCGTCTCGACCTGAGTGTTACCACGGCCTCGCAGAAAATAAAACCCGTGCTAAGCAATTTGCTTTTTCACCGAGTAAGTGAGGTATGATTGGAAATCAATATTTCTGGATGTAACAATGGAATCTGTTTTTAACCGACTTCAGAAAGGAGGACGTTTCAATTCGGATGTTTATCTATATATTTTTCTTATGTATGTGCCGGTTTTTCTATATAACTCCGTCATATATAGACGGATTTTCAAAAAAAAATAATCGAAAGGGGTTTATTTCAAAATGGTCCCATTTAAATTACAGATATATCTGATGATGAGTTTCGGAGACAGACAACGGAACTCCTGAAAAAACGACAGCAAATCAACCGAGATTGTTGCTAGGTTTTTAGTGCTCTTTTTTAGTATTGTTTGAAGTCGGTCTAACTCTTTTTAAATGTTTTTTCAGGGATTTGGTGCAATGAACTACAGGTGGGTATTTGAGGCAATTGAGCGTCTGGATGGAGATAAAGTAAAACAGCAAGAAAAAGAGGAAGAGAAGAAGAAATGAAGAGAAGAAAAATTATGCGGATCGTCATAATTTTCATGTATTTTGTTATATTCGTATTGTGATGTACGTATCTACTGTATTAGAATACGTCTATCTTCAAAGTTTTGCTAATAAATAAATAAAATGTTTTCAAGAGTCTAGTCGTATTAAATAATTTTAATATTAGCAATTACCTTTTAATCATGGAAAATATTTACTTTTAAAACTTTTAAAAATCGTCCTTCTCTTATGGAGGTCTGGTGAGTATGGCGGATGAGGGAGAGCTTCCAACCCCAGCTCTTGCAGCTTGGAGACTGTCTGTTGCGCAGTATGGGGTCGCGCGTTGTCGTGAAGGAGCAGTGGTTACGACCGATTGACCAAAGCTGGTTGCAGATGTGACCACCAGACCTTGCACCTACCGACTATTACTTTTTCAAAATTTAGACAACTTTTTAGTGGGTAAAAAATTCAATTCTCGAGAGGCAGTACAAAATGCCTTTGAAGAGTTTGTTGCCTCCCGTCCAGCTGATTTTTACAAGAAGGGCATCAATAAACTGCCAATGCGTTGGCAACGATGCGTCGATTGCATGGGTGATTACTTCGAATAACAGAAATAAAAAAGTTTGAAAAAATAAGTACTTTCACTTATTGCATACAAAACGGCAATTTCATAGGTAGAGACCTATTATATTATTATTTTCATTGTGCTTCGGATTAGATAGGCACAATTCAGTAGTGACAATAATAAGAGATCACATACACATTAAAACATTCTCTTGCGAATTCTTAATACCACAAATAATATGTAGTTATAAAAGCATGACGTTGATATGACTCGTACTAAAAAAAAACAAATTTAAGATAATGTTTATCTATGTTTGCTTTATTTATAAATTAACATATTTAAAACGAAATTAAATTTTGTTGAAACCTATTTATTTTATTTACATAACTTAGCTAATCTTTTATTCTATTTAGAGTTTTTAGATTTATTTTTGCTTTGTCATTCTTACTCAAATGAGTAAAAATTTATTTTTCAATATTAGCGTTAAATATGAATTTATGAGTTAATTATACATTAGAACAAGTATAATTAATTATGTATTCAAATTATTCACGTTATTAAAATACTACTATGTTGCTGATTACTGTCCAAAGACTAAGTGAAAGAGGCTGTTAAAGGCGCCCAATTGTACCTATATCAAGAATTTGTACCCGGCTCGACTGGAGTGATACGGCTACGGTTTCACTGAAATCTGAGGTTTATTTATTTATTTATAAAGAGTTTAAACATTTGTTCAAACTATTACAAATACGAAAACACATAAAAAAGGGTAAGTGTAAAAAAGTTGGAACAAATAATACCTGCATCATGCAATAACTGAGTACCTACTGCATATTAAATTAATATAATTATCAAGTACATTTTAATGTTTCTTTTGTCCTGGATTTCGTCCGCGTGTACATCGGTTTTTTCAGTAAAAAGTTGCCTATGCACTTTCTAGAGTCAAAGTATTATGGAAGGGCCTTCGGTATCTACATTCATTTGGTGAAAAGCAAATGAAGACATTACCTTAACCATGAAACGAGGAGAAAACAGTGATATGACGAAAGGCATTGAAGTCTTTTGATCAGGAGTCCCTTTCTCATGAAGCAAATTTAAAAGTAAACATGTAGACTCTGGTGCTTGATGCTCAATTTAAACAAAGTGAAGTGACATTTGTTTTTACTAATTTTCGTCTTGGTTGTACAAAAAAATATCTATATTGTTTTTGTAAAAAACATTAAAGTGCATATTTCTACGACAATCAATTTGCCAGCTGAGTTTAGTACTCGTATATAAATGAATACATAAATGATCAGATAAAAAGTATTTCATGTAGGAATAATGTTATTTTTACAGCCTTAGGAATAAAAATATTTTATACTGTTTGACGTTTGGTCTTCATAATCCCGCTCAAACGTTCCAGCGATTCATGGATGAAGTTCTACGCGGGCTGGACTACTGTTACGGGTATCTCGATGATATCTTGGTCTTCAGCAGCAGCACCACCTTTCTAGGGATTCAGAGTTTCAGCTACCGGTATTCAGTCCCTGGATAAGAAGGCCTTACAAGACTTTCCAACGCCCAAAACCATGAAATAAGAAGATTCCTTGGAATGCTAAATTTCTACCGACGTTTTATACCAGCTGCAGCTTCCATAGAGGCACCACTTCATAGCCTCTTGACAGGTCAGAAGCTTAAAGGATCGCACCCAGTTGTCATGACACAGGAACAACTGGTAGCTTTCGAAAAATGTAAGCACAGTTTATCTGAGGCCACACTTCTAGCACATCCTGCCTCGCGAGCAGAGTTAACTGTGCAGACGGACGCCTCGGACACATCAATTGGAGCAGTTTTGCAACAACGCAACGGTGAAGAAAGGCAGCCACTCGCATTTTTTTCGAAGAAGTTGAGCCCTTCACAAAGAAAGTATAGCCCCTACCACCGCGAGCTTCTGGCTATTTATGAGGCTATACGATACTTCCTGTTTATGGTAAGCTTATAACTGCAGTAAGTAGAATTGGGGAGGCCCTAGGTGTTCCTTTACCAGAATCGGCACTCCGCGATACATATCGACTGCCAGGAAAATCCACAGGATCATCTAATACACGCCCACTAATTGTGGAATTTTCTTCAGTGCTTTTAAAACAAAAAGTCCTCTCTGCAGTCCGCTCTTTGAACAAAAATAAAGATACAGTCAATAACACCATAAACACCTCTGTTATTGGTATTGGAAATGAACGACGCCCGATCTATATTACAGAGCAATTGCTTCCCAGTCAACGAAAGTTATTTTATCAAGCAAGAGAATTCGCAAAGAGAAATGACTTCAAATTTTGCTGGATAACGAACGGAAACATATATCTGCGTAAGAAAGAGGGTGACAACCATTTTCTTATAAACTCCATTAATCGTCTCCATGAACTCACCAATAAGATGTGACTACTAACCACGGCTGCCTCGTTGAGTAACTACAAAGTATCAATACTGCTATTATTAAAAATTAATGATAAAACATACCGTATTACATTACACGACTCCACGCCAAACAAAAAACACTCACAAAACCTACAACATTCAAAACATAGCAACAAAAATTACATTTTAACACTATACAAACCAAAAACCCGCATTGTGTGCCTTACCATAAAAGCATGTATCGTACAACCATCACTAACTATTCTACAGTGTAATAATTTAACTTTAAAATTCACAGGTATATTTTTTAGAAATATACTAGATAACATAGATACACTACATGCATATACTACATACAAAGAATACATTGTAACTTCAAAACAAGAAAACCTCACTTATACACATTTATTATACATACACATTCAAACAAAATATAGACTACATATCATTGTAAAGATTATGAGCTTAATAAAATATATAAAAAAAACAATTAACTATAAATCTACTCGTACAACATATTGCTTTAGTTCATTGTTTAGCGATAACCTTAAATACAATTCGCAGCTGTAAATGTGATTAACTATGAATTGGACAGTCTTAATACAAGTAATGCAATTTCATGCTCCCCATCTGACTGTCCGAATCTTGTTGCCTCATTTGAAAACAACATAAACATATTACATTCGAACATACGGAGCGTAAACAAAAATCTTGACAATTTACTGACAACTATGACAATAACAAAAATTAATTTTGATATAATTGTTTTAACCGAGTGCTGGCAGAGTAAAGTTACTAACATGCCAGTTTTGGACGGATACCGATCCTTTCACACCAATAATTTCTCAAATCAAAACGAAGGTGTTATTATCTTTGTAAAGACGGGTCTACAGTGCTCCATTCGTGAACCAGATTTAAAAAACGCGAACTGTCTAGTATGCGAAATTGATCACAAATTCGCAATTGTAGCAGTCTATAGACCTCCATCATACAATACAAAAGACCATCATAATGCTTTTTTTACCAGTCTAAATCACGTATATCACCAACTAAGTTCTTATTCAAATATTGTTCTCATAGGAGACATAAACATTGATATAAAGCACGGAAATAAAAGTGATTACAGTCTCGAATATCTAATTCTAAACGCAACCCATAAATTATTCCCAACCCATCTAATACCCACACGAAAGGAGAATTGCCTAGATCATATATTTCTAAAATCTAATTTTCCTTCCACCACCGTAATTTTAGAGTCTGCCATAACCGACCATAAGCCGTTAATTTTAAGCATCAAGAGTAGTGACACATCTCGGAAACCCTTGCATTACATATCCAGATTAAATCATCAGGGTGCTCAGAAAGAAATAGAAGAAACTGATTTCAGTCAAGTGTATACCATTGTAGATGCCAACGAGGCCATCAATAAAATAATAACAACCATTTCATCCATCATATCAAAACACACAACCTTAGTAAATATCCCAAAAAAACAACGCACTATAAAACCCTGGATTACTCCTGGACTATTGAAATGCATTAAAAATCGAGACAGGATGCACGCCAAAACTAAAAAGACCCCTGAAAATCTCGTTCTTAAAACTACGTACATTAGATATCGCAACTATTGTAATATTCTCCTAAGAAAATTAAAAATAGCCTATGAAACCAATGAGTTACTTAAAGCAAAAAAGAATCCGAAAGAACTATGGAAAGTTATTAAGGACATTACTCATACGCGAAAAACCCGTGATAACCCCAGTGAGCTACTAAATTTGTGCGAAAATCCTCAATCCTCGGTAAATAAAATTTCTAGTTACTTCTCACACATAGGTGAAACCTTAGCTTCTAAAATCACAGCCACAAACCACTCTAACCAATCCTTGACTTCAAGAAGTACCAATTCTCCTCCTGCAAACTCAATGGGCTTTCTCCCCATTGATGAGTCTGAGGTAGAATCTCAAATTCTACAGCTACGTAGCAATTGTGCCATTGGGTGGGATGGGATACCATCCACTATTCTAAAAAAATGTCGGGAAACTTTAGTACCTCCAATCAC